AAATAAAGAAATCTCTGTGGTGCAGCTACCCATCGTGATAGTGGGTTCAATACAGCTAGCTAAAGCTTGGCCATTCAGAACTAAAGTGTTAACTGACCAAGAGGCTATGTGCCATGTTGTTTGTGATGACTCAACGTGTTGGCTGTTATTGTTGAACTATATCAATGAGGCCATTGATTACAAAGTGGGAGACTTCAAGCATGCAAAGTTCCCACTTTTAGGGCATGCTTGTTTACTGTAGATGGCATTCAATATGCTGTTTTCAAGATGCCATTTCCATTTGTTGAGTTAGAACAATTTTTTTTGTAATCCAAGAGGGAAATCTAAGTATACAGACTTCCTAGATAATGATAGAGGAGTCCACTGCCTTTATATTTAGGTAATTTTTTGATGTCTTCTGTGGAAGCAGCAATAGCCAGTTAAAGATGATTTGCATTAATAGAGGACAGGGTATTAAAGCCCCTCTTAATGACATCATGGGGGTTCATTGAGGCATGTTTCTTAGCCTTTGGTCTTCCAGATGTTTTAGACTTCAATTCCTGGAAGCTCCAACTTGTAGTAGCCAGCAATGGATTTGGGAGTTGAAGTCCCAAGCATTTAGAGAGGACTGAATGGCAACTTTTAAGATCCCTCCTTCCATTCTTAGGATCCTTAAGATGACAACCAATGGCATAGGGGCAGAACTGAAACTAGTACCTGGGGTTGTTGTGTAATCGGTTAAGCTTGGGTCACATGAGATTCTGGGGAGAAGACAGTATGATGTAGTCATGCCTGGGTCTGCACTCATGAGACCCATACTATGTTCCGTCTTAGTAAAACTTAGCTCTGAGCTTGTCTGTTTTGTGTTTCTTTCTGCCTTGGGAGAAGTGACTGTAGATCCTAAGTGTGCTTGATGCAGGCAGGCTGCACCGTAGTAGCAACAAATGCTGATAGGTGAGTTCATACCTCGCAGCAGCAAATATTAATAGCCTTGGTCAAAGTCACAGACACCCTAGTTACAGCTCTTTCTCTCATGTATATCACAGGCCCCTCTCTGATACTGGATGCTTTACACTGGTTGTGGTGGCAAAAAAGGCCAACTTAATGTGCTCATGTGTCCTATTTTAAAGAGAAGGGGCTGTTTGGTTCCCACATGTTCTTGGACTAAAAACTCCTAGAAGCTTTTAGCACTAGCTGTGTTGGCCAGGATTTCTGGAGTTTCCGTCCAAGAAGATCCTAGGGCTTCGATTGTGTGAGCCTTGGTCCCGCTATATACCCAAAATCTGGTGTCTAACACAGCTCCCTCACACAACTTAATAATAAGGCTCGTCCTAGTTCTTGTATGCTGACTGGATAGCTTACTGGTTCAAGTATCTTGGCTGTGGGCCCAGAGGTTGGGACTGTGTTTCCTGCATGTACAGCCAGCCTGTTCGGCCTTGGGCAAGCTGCCTAGTCCCTGGAAGAAGGGAATTCTCTACCTAGAAATCCCTGAAAAAGGGTTGCTATAAGTCAGAATTGACTTGATGACACATGATTTTTATTATTGTCCTTGTATATGATTCCCTCAAGCATATGCTATTTAAAATGTTATCCCTCCGTGCCACACATTCACCATGTCGAAACATATCAGCGCACATACTCAAAAACACAACAAATAAGGGGGACGGGGTGGAATTTTGCTGGTGGGCTGAAATCACAAAAGGCCTTTGAAACGGCCATGTGTGTCTCTTCCCCACTTCATTCTGTACTAGAAAATGGACATACGACACCATGAAAGAATGTTGGCAATTAGAAATGGCAGCAAGTGATCAAAACCAAGGGAGGTCCAAGATGCTATGTGACCAAAAGAGTCGAAAGGGCAACCAGGGATTTTAGAGCCATCACTAGGGTTTGGCCTAAGGCACCAAAATTTAGATGGCACTAAATTTAATTGTGAGCTCACTGGAGAGTGTCAGAGAAATAAATGGTAATACTTCCCAGTACTATTTACTTTTGGGGGAATCGTTCCACTGCCTGAAGCAAAATACCAACCTTGGCCTTGTTTCCAGGAACAAAAAGGAAGTTTATGCTTTCAAAGAAAAAGAAGCCGATTAAAGAAAGAGGAAAAGGAAACAATTATTATTAGGGTTACTGTAACAAGACTGATATTTGCAATGAAATGGAAAAATAATAATCAATTTAACGTGGAAAAATGGTATAAAGAAATGCGGAATATGGCTATTAATGATAAATTAACATGTGAAACTAAGGTTAGAAACGGAATATTGAAGTGTAATGATTTTAAGGCTATATGGGAATTATTTTTTGGGTACACTAAAAGTTGTTCTTGGAAAGAAATGAGGCAATATGAAATATAATTAAAATATAAATTTTAACTAGTCCTGAGGGTGGGGGGTTGCACAGATGATTGCAGTTTTGTTTAGTTTTAAATTGATTTGTTAGTGTGTTTGCTTTATTTGTTGTTGATTTTTTTTCATTGTTTGGAAATTAAAATAAAATTTGTTTTTTAAAAAGTGGGGGGAAGAAAGAAGGGGATGGTATGGCACCGTCTCTCTCTTTCGCTGTACTGGACAATGGTAAAGACCATTGGTGGTGAGTGAACTCTGCATCACATGGCCAAGAAAGAGGAAAGAGTGCAGTGGCATTGCGAGGCTGCCATGACCCCTCGCAATTCTGCTGGCTGTGAGTGCCAAAATTGCACATTATAGCTTTGTAATGTCTCTTCCATTCTAAATTTAAAAGTGGTGGAATCATACCATACCGCTAGAGAAAGGACAGTATCCTCCATGGTACCTGAGACCAGCATGATAAATTAGGTGATGCAGGACATTAAGCCCATGGAGTAACCTCTGCTCCCTGCTTCTCAAAATGACTTTGCCTATAGGCAGGGTCGGCACTGGTCCAAACTGTGAAATCAATATTTACGCAGACAGGACATAGTAGTCCAGATGACTGGTCTTCAGATAGGAACTCATGCTCCTCAAGCTAAAGTAATAGATTGCTAAATAACTAGTATGAGCCGGACCGATGAGTTATGACCATCTGGTGAATAGAAAAGTAGAAAGACAGAAGAAAAGAGAAGAAAAGCTCTAAATAGACACATGTGTAATTGAATGGGTGCTGGCTGGATAGCTCAGTGGTTAGGTATCTGGCTGTGGAGCCAGAGGTTGGGAGTTCAATTCTCCACTGTGTCTCCCGGGAGTGGAGTGGTCTGTGTGGTCCTGGGCAAGCTACACATTCCTAGGATGCCCCCAGAAGCAAGGAATGGCAAACCATCTTTGACTACTCACTACCTAGCAAATCTTTGAAATGTTCATCATAAGTCAGAATTGACTTGACGGCACATGGTTATTTTATTACTTTATAAATTAATGAGAAAGGAATACATGAGATAAAAACTGGAAGTCAGTCCCATGTCAGAGATAGCTGAAGATAAAACATGGCTCTTGGAAAGCAAAAGGTTCAGAAGGCAAGGAACACTGTCTGACGTTATCCAGTCCAGTGCAGTATTGAGCGCAAAATTTGAACTTCGTGCATTTTTATTGGCAATAATCCAGGCAACACCATCCTGTTCCAATCCTAATAAGCTTCTTGATATCATTTCATTTAATCACCAAATATAGACAGTACAGTACCATACAAAATGGACTACAAAAATAAAGGTCTAAAGACTGAAAGCTGTTTGAGGAAGACAGCTTAGTCTCTTTGCATTCATTTCTCACTTCCAGTTACCATTTCCAGGAAGGGGATGATGAAGTGTCCTCTGATGCTTTCATTGCCATTGTGTCTTCAATCAGCTATATTCTCGCTATTAAAAACAAGCATTGCTCCTTCATTCATTAAGATAGACAATAACCAAGGCAAAGAGATAGGGGGCTACATTTTCTCCTTTGCTCAGATGCTGCAGATTTACCTTGGGTTAAAAAGAGCTACTTATACACCCAGGGAATACAAACAGGAAAGAAAAAAAATAGAAAATGATCATACTTGACCACCTTGACTTGGCATTATTCATAAAAAAAAGAGAGAAGGTGCTAGAGCAATTTTGCAAGGGACCACGTAATGTATATTTTGTCTTCATTCCTTGTCAACTAAGGCAAAAGAAAGCAAGCCAGCCTTTATGAAAAGAGGGAGGAGGTTGGGACATAGGGGGGACCCAACAGATTGCAAATATTAATCAACTTGTGTTCTTTTTAAAAATAATCCGTAACAACTCAAATGAAATAGATGTACTGTACTAGACGTCACGGCCGAAACTACTAATGATACAAGACTGATGTCAGCTAATATATAAACAGATTAGAAAAGTAAAAGTTAAATTTGACAGAATTTTCATTTGTTTACAAAAGTTCATTTTGTATAATCTGCATATTCTCTGCTGGGCAATAAACATCCTCTTCTCCATAAAGGATATTTGCAAAAATTGAAGAGAAGAAACCTGATGAATTAGTTTAGCATGAGTTCCCTCCCACAACACTCTTCCTGGTGCGCTGTGTGCTATTCCCAAACATTCCAGACCCTTCGCTCTTTGCCTTTTCCACCCTTTGTGGACACAGAGTTCCATCCCTCGGTGTAATCAGGTGAGCCCAATTGAAGAGGTGAATGAGGAAAGGCCTGCCCACCCGCCTGTCGTCTTCACCAGGAGGTTGAAGGGACCATCAGTACCAAGAGGAATGTTACAGTCGACGAGGAAGTGGAGAAAGCCCGCAGGCCAGACTGAGAATTTGTGACTTTTCCACCTAGAAGGGACAAAACAAAAGAGAAACTGAAACAGCAGATCCCTGGAATACTATTTTGGCTTTTTGCAAATGTGAACACCATGGAGTCCTTGTGTCTCCTGGTGTAGTCTGAGTTGAAAAATTTAGGCCTAAATACAATTGTCAGTCCCGATTAGAGCAGACCCATTAAATCAATTGCTGGATGGTGTGCTGACACGTAGGTGAATCCAGCTGGTTCAGTGACTCTAGCTAGGATTGCCAACAAGATTCTCTCTCTCTATTTTATTTATTTATATGGCACATTTCTTCCCATCACATTAAAGTACAATTGCCAGAATCCTGTTTATGCAGCTCTGCATGTATTAAGCTATGGACTTTAATCTTTAATTAAAAGTTTCCTGTTCCTGTTCCAAGGCTCACGGGGATCCCCTTTGACCAGACGAAGATTAGGGTTCTTGAGATGGGCAGGAGCCTCTAATGCCCAGAAATTGCAATTGGATTCAAGTCTTAGTTGGCCACTGACTTACAAATGTTGAATAGCATTTGATCTGTGTTTGTATAAGGTTTGCATAACTTGCTGTAGCTAATTGCCATTATTTTCTGAGGTGCTGTGGCCTGTCTGATCTCAATTGCATATCTGACCATCCCGTGCCTAGTTGTGCAACTGGGAATGCATTGTTAATTAGCAACAATTAGCTATAATTAGCCACAGGATGTTACATAAATGTTAAGTGAACTCCAAAAGAATTCTACCATTAAAACATACCTAACTCATTACAGTGGTGCCTTGCTTAGTGACATTAATCCGTTCAGGGGAAAAGGTTGCTAAGCGAAAACATCGTTAAGCGAAATTAAAAAGCCCATAGAAACGCATAAAAACGTGATTAATGCATTCCTATGGGCTTAAAACCTCACCTTTAAGCGAAAATCCTCCATAGCGCTGCCATTTTCGCTGCCTCTTAAGCGAGGAAAAACAGCGGGTGGCCATTTTGTTTTCCCGGCGGCCATTTTGAAACCGCCAATCAGCAGTTAAAAAAGGGTCACTTTTTCCTGATCGCTTCCCTGTGATCATCGCAAAGCGAAAAAAACCGATAGGGATCATCGCAAAGCAATCGCTTTTGCGATCGCAAAAACTCTGTCGCTAAGCAATTTCGTCGCTCAACAGAGTGATCACTATGCGAGGCACCACTGTATACTGTAGTATTAAAACATAGTTAAATTAAAATTCCTAGAAACCTCTTAATTAAAATACCAATAATATTTTAGCTAAAAAAGAAAAGCAGCACAGCCAGCTGAAGCCCTGTTGTTAGAAGGCTGTCAACTGTTAAAGTGAAAGCTGCAGAATTAACATATTTTTCTGTGTATAAGATACCCACACTTTTCTAACCCAAAATTAAGAAATCAATATTTTAAGCATAAAACAAAACACATTTTCATTTAGTAATTAGGTAACATTTACATACCAGTACTGTCATATTATGCATCACGCTTAGCTTTGAGCATATCAATTTATTCAGCCTCTGGGCTCAGAACGCTCAGACATTATTAGTCCCTGTTGCATCTGAGCACTGCCTACATGCGCCACCTCCAAGGAGGTGTATTCCAATTGGTTTGTTCAGCATCAGCTGATGTAAGTTACATAAGGCTCATGATTGAAGGAAGCTAATTCTCCTGACTGTAGGATGCTAAGCCTCGTCATTGGAGGCAGCTAGGCCTCGTGATTGAAGAAAGCCTGTTTGCAAAGGCAAGATATGGGCAGTTTTGCAATTGTGCGGTTCTCTCCTCAGCTTACTTCCATGCATAAGACAACCTTCAATTTTTACTCTAAAGGTTTTAGACAACAGTATCATCTTATACACAGAAAAATATGGTATTACTGGATTTGAGAAGCCAGCCCCTACTGCTAAAATCAATTACATAGCAGGCACTGCATCCAGTGAGACACACTGAAAGACTCAAAGAATATACATCAAATGCACATCCACTCTTTGGCTACCATGCCACACCTCCCATACTAAAATCAAGGACAAGCCTTTCCAAAAGGAAGACTTGGTGTTAATTGTCCCCAACACTTTTGATGTTACCTGTTATTATTGATTAGTATATATTCATTAGTGGTCCTGCAGTCTTAGCCTTTCTTAGCAGCGTGAAAGACTCAAAGAATGTACATCAAATGCATATCCACTCTTTGGCTACCATGCCACACCTCCCATACTAAAATCAAGGACAAGCCTTTCCAAAAGGAAGACTTGGTGTTAATTGTCCCCAACACTTTTGATGTTACCTGTTATTATTGATTAGTATATATTCATTAGTGGTCCTGCAGTCTTAGCCTTTCTTAGCAGCAAGCTCCAAAGCATGTGACCAGGATTACACCTACCATTCTAAAGCCCCAAACAGTCAAGTCTTTCTGGACAGTGACATTATTGTGAGTGAAAAAGTCTTTTCTGATAGATACTGAGGAATCCTAGAAGGATGCTTATGGCTCCAAAAGCTCAGTTCCATCACTGACACTTAACTGACTAAGAAAAAACAATGGATGAAAAAAAGTGTTGGATACAAAAACCTGTGAGCACTGCCAATCCCAACTAAGGTGGTGACAGTGGGAAGTCTCTCCTCTGCTATGGTCTCCATAAACTAAAATGACTAAGAGCCTGTCTACATTTAAAAAAACACACAAACACAATATGTAGTGTTTTAATTTTAAGCCAGTCTACATTAAAAAAAACCACACACAATATGTAGTGGTTTAATTTTAAGCCAATTCACATCACATGGTTTTTGAGCTGTACCAATTTGAGAGGGTACACAAAAGAGGGGAAAAAGCTTATTAAAGTGCCACCTGGTGGTTTTAAATAGGGCACACATGGGGAGGCTCCCTTTTAAAACCAGCTGTTAAGATTACAACTGGCTAAATTGAAAAAAAAACCACACACAATATGTAGTGGTTTAATTTTAAGCCAATTCACATCACATGGTTTTTGAGCTGTACCAATTTGAGAGGGTACACAAAAGAGGGGAAAAAGCTTATTAAAGTGCCACCTGGTGGTTTTAAATAGGGCACACATGGGGAGGCTCCCTTTTAAAACCAGCTGTTAAGATTACAACTGGCTAAATTGATTAACAAAACAGCATGCTAAAATGAACAGCCCTCTGGTGGCTGTTTATTTTAACTCACTTCCTAAGAAAATGAAATGGATCAGGAGGAAATAAATGCACACTTTGAAATTCATTGTGTGAACATGAAACGATTCTTAGCACAGGCCAAATCCCAGGTGTTGTTTTTTTTGGCTGCGTGACCAGGCCTGTTTTTGCACATCTTCCAATGGAGGGTATTTTTTATTGTGCACATTCATTTGCCTGTGGTTAAAAGGAAAGGAAAGGAAAGGAAAGGAAAAGAAGAAACTGACCCTAGCAGATTCTGCCCAGGCATTTGTACATATTTTTACGGTTAAAAGGAAAGGAAAGGAAAGGAAAAGAACTGACCCTAGCAAATTCTGCCCAGGCATTTGTACATATTTTTAATAGTCTCACTAACCACAAACTGGATAACTAGGTAACAAAACAAAACAAATTTAAATAAAACAAAGTGAGTTGATTTGCCTATTCCTTTAAGCTTTAAATCATGAGATGGAGTGAAGCAGTGAATTGCCATTTCGAAAACAATTTCTTCTTTGACTTCTCCCCAAAGTCCAAGAAAGAGATCGTAAATTCTCAAAGATTCAGTTATATATTGAAAAGGGATGGAAATATGTCTCCGAAGCTTTCTACTCATTGGTTGTTGTGGGTTTTTCGGGCCCCAAAGCCAACTACACCAGAGCACAGAGTGCTGTCCTCTGAAGATGCCGGCCACAGAGACTGGCGAAACGTCAGGAAGAACAACCTTCAGAACATGGCCAAAGAGCCTGAAAAACCCACAACAACCATTAGATCCTGACCGTGAAAGCCTTCGCGAATATATTTCTACTCATTGCTCTTCTACAATGACAGAAGAAAAAGTCATGGGTGAATATCTGAAGGTTTTAGTGCACAGATGAAGGCCAAATGAAGGACTTGCAGCAAATGATGCGGGCTTCTGATGTTAGCTGCTGAAGCTGAGATTTATGGACCTCTAACAGGCCGTTTCTTTATTTGGTTAGTTATACACTCTGTGGACATGGATGTGTGTGGACAAGATTCCCTACAGATGGATGAGCAGACTGCTTTTCTTCTATGGCTGGTGATAGAGGCTGCTCCAAATTGACATGGACACAGAAAAAAATGGGTGAGCCCTACTAGAGCAAATATTCACTCCTAGCACCCTCTATGGATTGCATCAGAGCCCAAATTCATTCATTTTATCCCTCAAATAACATGCCAAATGCCCATTCACAGCAATGAATTCTGGGTTTCTCTTTGGGTTTCTTCACCTTGCCCTCTTTTTAAGGTAGCATTTTTACATGGGGGCATAATCAGTATTTTTTTGGGGTTACCAGTGGCTCATGTGATCCTTTTTGGCTACCCCATCTTTGGAGGGAGACTGTTTGGGCATAACTTCTTTCAAACCTCTGCAGCCATACATTTACCCTATAGGAAGTGCAACAGGATTTTGGCTGTTACTCGTATGTCTTCCATTGCTCACTGGTAAGAATGAATGCATTATTCAGTTTTGTTAGTTTGCATAATTTTTTTAGCTTGCACATCTAGCAGATGGTGTAACAATAGTGGTAGAACTTAATGCAATGATAGGGGTTTTCACTTCTGGTGTTTGCAGAAATGTTACCTGAAAAAGAGGTTACTCTAATTTGGGAGCTGGGTGTTCCATCCCCTCCTTCACTCACGGCACGGACCTCAATGATATAGACACCAACAGCATCAGGAAGAAGTAGCATTGCAGATGTTTTCTGTGTTTCTATGACTTGACTGTTGCTGTGACCTTCTTGTCGAAACAAGACCTGTGGATGACAGAAACAGGTGTCGAATATCTGACCTTTAACAACTTTCTAATTCCAGACTTGAAAATGTCAAGATAGGATGAAGGATTTGGAAGGATATTGGAGACTTAGGCCTACACCATTACTGCTCCTTCCATATTTCAAGTCCTTCAAAGGCTCACTTCTATGGAAGAACACATCCAACTTGCATGCCTCTCTACAACTCTGAACCCTTGGCTTGCTACAGATGTAAAGGTAATCTTTTCAGGATTAGGAATCTGCACAGAGTCTGTACAGTCCATCCCTTCTTTTCTGCTACACAGATTCCAATCCATCCTTTGCTGATGGGCAAATGAAGGCCATTTTCTTCCACACAAATTCCAATCCCAAGAAATGGGCAAAATCTGTTAATTTTGCTATCTCTTTCATTCCCACACACATATTGTGCAAAACTATAGTACACTCTGAATCAAAACCAACAAAGAGTGTGAATACACAGCAAGAAGAATTCTAATTAACTGGCTGTGATGTCACACATGGAAATTTGCATTTCCTCAGGTCTGTTTATGTCTCTCATGTGGCCATGGAAGAGAGAGAGAGGAGGAGGAAATTGACTAAATAGTATTGCTCGCAGCTTGTTAACATAGATCTCTCCTGACTGGAAGGAGCATAACTACAGGAGAACTGCCACAATAAACTGTAAACAAGGATTGTGTGGCAATTTCCTTCTCTCTTTTCCTCCTCTCATTCTCTATTTATTTTCCTTTTTTCCCTTTTCTGATTTGGTTTCTTGGTGCCCTGGGACTAAGCAGTTTTTTTAAAAAGAAATGTAATTACAATCACTGCACCATAGCAGAACAGTGCTGGGACGAAGCAGTTTTTTTTTTTAAAGAAATGTAATTACAATCACTGCACCATTGTGCCAATCATCAGCACACACTTTCCTGCATAGTTCAAGTGATCATACTGTATAAACGGATATAAATTGCCATGTGGGGGGAAAAGAGAGAGAGAGAGAGAGAGAGAGAAGGGAATCAGACCCTCTCTCAATGTCATAGCATTTCCTGTAGTATATGTCAATGTAGTCATACCCAAACTGAAACAAAATTCTCACCCACCAGTTATAAAAATAATTTATATTTTAACCATGGCTAATTTTTAATTAGTTCAGAAAGTGTTATTGTGACCCTGGTTAATGCTTACTTCAGTGCTGAACACAAGTGGAAACAGAACATATGTAACTCACTTCTCCCATTTCTACAAATAATTCATACTAACACAATTAGTTTTTAAACCAAGTCTTACAAGAAAATACTGGGTGGGAATATGACAGTACCTGCTGATCCATTTGCCATTTCTCTCCATTTGAGAATTTGGTCCAGCTCTACACGTGTGTGTGTGTGCATCAAAGTACAGTACATGTCTCGGAATATAGCTATCCAGATTTGTGTTCTCAGGCTGTAGTTCCCAGAATTCCCTAAACAACATAGCCACAAACCTTGCTGTTAAGGGAATTCTGGGAATCATGTCCAAAAGCATGAATGTGTACACCTCTTCCCGAGAGGAATACTTCATATGCTTTCCATTTTTTTGATCTAACAACCATTTTCAAACAACATCTGGGCAAAGATGAACTCAATCTCCAAACCACCCAGACGTTGAGGAAGAAAGCCAGTATCCTATCAGCACAGATTATGGAAAATTCCCAACATAATCAGAACAAATCTCAGTATTTGCACTTCTGCTCTACAAAGAAAATACTAATTTGAATGGCATTTACAGCATCTCATGCTCCTGCTTTTCCTTCAATCCCATTGCAAACACTGTCAAATTGAAGCATTAGCATGGATTTTGCAGCTGCCTGTTCCTATTAACAGTCAAATGAGTTGGTGGCAGCACCACCAAGCTACATATATTGCTTTGTTTACAATCTCTGCTCGATGAGCATACTAGGTAAAACCCACCAGCTATGATGTTAAAGTCATTTTTCCCACCCAAAGAAGTTATTCCTTTCATATGATCTCCATGTTTTATACCGGAATGGAGGTAATGTCCCTCAGAGTCATTTTTGTGACCTCTCACCCTAGAGTTCCCCAGCCCCATTCAATCCATTTTTAAACACCACCACCCACCAATTTCTGCTCCTGGTGGTCTCCATGGGTTTTTTTTGTTTTTGGAACCAGGGGAGGGGAAATCTCCACATCCCTTACCTCTCTTCAAATTCAAATATTTTTTGTTTCTTTTTAAATTAGTGTTTTCAGCCACTTCCAGGCCTGGTGAGGCCCAGGTGAGATGCGGGCACTACAATTTGTCTTCAAGCCCACCAAGATCTCCCACACTGTTTTAAATACAGTAGTAATAAAATTGCCATGGAAATTGTGCAAGAATTGACTTAAGATTCAGCAATTTATCCAAATGTCTACTCTAGTTGGGACTAGCTATAGGTTTTAGACTATGGTTCTTCCCCTACTTGATTGCTGGGGTTGAATACACAGTACCTTGTCCCCAATTATTGCTTTGTTGAATTTGATAAATTATAGCCAACTGAAGAGAGAAGAAAAGGAACTAATTATTATAATGGTTATGGGGGCAAGGATAATATTGTTGTTTGCCTGGAGAATCAGACTTTTGAAGTATATTAGTGGTTACCTTCCAATGACCCATCACAAATCACAATACTCCGAAATGTGAAATTATGAAGTGAGGAAAAGTTTATGCTAGAACAAGCTGACAGGCTTCACCACTTAAAAATGTCCTGCTTCTACACATAAGCTAAACACACCATGTGGAAAACTGACCTTGTATCCCATGACGTCTGATTCGTTTTCTAAAGGTCTAACAGGTTCCCATCCAAGGGACACATGGGCGCCATCTTGCATCCACATAATATTGCCTGGTGCTTGACTAGGAGCTGAGGAAAGATAAAATATATATACATACATAATATAATATTTTGAAACACATTTGGAAAAAGAAAACACTAAGGAGAAGTTTAATTTTTTATTAGGTTTCCATTTGATTGCTAGCTATGCTAGATAAAGCCCAACAGCATAGTCTCTTGCTGAAAAAGTGTCATCTTAATAGCTTCTGGTGAGCCCTGAATCATTTAATCTCTCTTTGCTGTTCCACATCAGAAACATTTAGCCTTGTTTTCCAGAAAAATAGCCCTTTGCCTCTCATGGATACTAAATGTTCTCGGTCACATTTTAAAATACTGATCCTTTGAAGCGCGCTCATGAATCAAAACAGCACCACAACTTTGTTTTGTTATCTGATATAAGTCTCCAGGAAAGGAAAACTAAATCAAGGGAACTGAAGACATTTTGAGAGCTGCACATTATGGGGAGAACAGAAGTTTGGAAACCTACGAGATTTCTTGGTGGAGGCACGGACGATATTGCTAGGTGGTCCATACCCCGCGGAGTTGTAGGCTTTCACTCTCAGGTGGTATAAGGTGTTGCCCTCTAGCCCCGTCAGAACGATGGATGATTCATTTCCTTCTGTCCTGGCTTTCTCGGCAGCTTCCTCTTGTTCTATATCTTTCCAGTAACCAACCTGCCAATGGAAGTGTGAGGGATTAACCAGTACATTTGTGAAGTCCTTTCATGAATTCTGATTCTTCTGATGTCTATAGCAGTGCTTCCCATCCTCGGGTCCCCACATGTTCTTGGGCTACAACTAGAGATGGGCACAAACCGGTTCATCCCAGCTGGTAAAGGCGGCAGCAAAGGTGCTGCCACTCCCCTCACCAAGCCCAGAGCGCTAGCTTCCTGCACCTCCTCAACGGAACATCCAGTCCTGGCAACCCCTCAGGTGTCTCTTGGCTGATTTCCCACTCAGACAAAAAGGTGGGGCAGAGAACTCTGTGCTCTAGCTTGTGACTGGGAAATTCGCTAAGGAGTTGGGAAAAAAATGCAAACTGAGCCCAGGGAGTGGCTCTGTGCTCTAGTTTGTGACTCGGAAATTAGCTAAGGAGTTAGGAAAAAAAATGCAAACTGAGCCCAGGGAGTGGCTTGATCAGCTGAGGAGGCAGGGTAGGGGACTAGCAGCATCTGTGCTGCCACCTTTACAAACCAGGATGAACGGGAACAAACCGATTCGTTCCCATCTCTAACTACAACTCCCAGAAATCCTTGTCAGCATATTTAGTGGCAAAGTTTTATGGGAGTTTTAGTCCCAGAACACCTGGGGAGTTTATGGGAGTTTTAGTCCCAGAACAGCTGGGGACCCAAAGTTGGGAACCATCGATCTATAGCATTTTTCAGCATATAAACTTACTGAAATACCTTTTTTGTTATCAGTGAACTTTTGATGTCTTGCAGAAGCCCGAGTAATACCTGTGTGCCCACTCTGACCTACGGCAATATAGTCAGGCAATATAATTTAGCCACCTCCATTCTTCTACTCTTCAGATGCTTTCGATCAGAATTGTCATAAATAGTACAGCTTTGAATCTCTGCCTGTCTTTAATAGAAATTCATATACATTTTCCATAATGTATATATTGATTTATACTGTTTCCCAACATTTGTTGCTTTGTGCACATCTTTCTCATTGACTTAAAGCACATGTTTGCATATTTTTCATATTTTTACTGTTCATAGTTTTAAAATGAATGCATTATTTTGTGGGTAGAAAATGTAGTGAAAGCTTTTAAAATGTCTGATTCACCCCAGATTTTACATACATACATACATATTCTGAGCATGCACGGTTCGCTCAGGCTCACTTAAGCCAGAACACAATCACAGCTACAAAAATAATCTGGGTTTGCTTCTGGTTTCACAATAAGTAATCATTTTGTTAAAGAAAGAGGGCCATGGTTGACACTATGCCAAGGTGCCATCAAACACACTGCCCTCAGTCCTCCTGACCTGTGGTCCTTGTCCATATTGCAAACTGATTTTGACATTGAGTGGTGGTAAATCTCTAGACTTCAGACAAAGCAGTTCTGAGGCCAGCTGAGATACCAAGACCTGAACACAGTTCCCTTTAAATTAAAAAAAAATCTGTTTAGCCACTGAACTACAGCTTCTTGAAAGCTGAGGTTGAGCTGTCATGGCTGAGTAAAGATCTGAAGCCTGTTAAAGAAAGAGGACCATGGTTGACACTATGCCAAGGTGCCACCAAACACACTGTCCTCAGTCCTCCTGACTTGTGGTCTTTGTCCATATTGCAAACTGATTTTGATGCTGAGTGTTGGTAACTCTCTAGACTTCAGACAAAGCAGTTCTGAGGCCAGCTGAGATACCAAGACCTGAACACAGTTCCCTTTAAATTAAAAAAAAATCTGTTTAGCCACTGAACTACAGCTTTTTGAAAGTTGAGGTTGAGCTGTCATGGCTGAGTAAAGATCTGAAGCCATAACGCAATATTTTAATCATGATATCATGGTGGCTTTCATGCCTAATGCTGTGAAGTCTTCCAAAATATGCTATTTGTGTTGTTTTCATTGCTCTAAGAAATCTCACCTGTATCTCTAGGGTAATGTCTGAAGAAAACCCACAGCTCTCTCTTCAGTGGGGCACTTGACATGCTCAGCCAGCCAGCTGCAGGATGCAACTATGTTAGCTTCCTGAAATTCAGTGCATCTCAGCATTGCCAACATGGGATATTGTGTGACTTGCTGGACAGGACTAGCAAGAACGAGTGCTGACAGAAAGTCAAAAGCATTTGAAAAGATTCAAGGGCAGCCCACCTCTGGTGGGCATTCAAAGAAATTTGCTATTCAAACCTGGCAAGCTTTGACTGATTTCTATGAGGAAGTGGCTTGAATAATATTTCCTTCCTTGGTGAACACAGCGCACAGCGAGGAAGCTCTGAATCTGTGTAATGAATTGGAGATGACAGAACACCTGAGGAAACCTTGTAGTGGGTTAATCATACGGAGCAGCATCGCTTGGGGACAGAGAGGAAAGCCGAGGGTTTGGTCTGAGTTACTCAGATGGGAACAGGTTTCTGTCAAATGTAATTCAGGAAGAACCCTCTCTTTGGATCACCCCCTCCTCGTTTGCGCATAGAAGACCAAATCGCTTTTGATGTTTACAAGTCTGTGGCAGTCGTTGCTTGCCTTCGCTGCGTTTTCGCTGCTCTCTAGAGGATTTGCTGGCAGTGCGTGAATTCTGAATAGTTTCTTTGTAATCCATTCAGAGTAGGTGTCTACTTCTTGCAAGGCACTGGTTCTGCAGCTGGAAAAATGCTTATTTCAGGATAGAACTGGAGTTACTTCCACTGAGTGAACACAGTACAACTGCTATTGAGTTATTATACTTGTTTTATACAAAAGACCTATGTCTCATTTTTCTGATGAGAAGATGGATTTTTTACAGAGCAGGAGAAATGCAGCCTGTCTACACATGGACTTTGAGACTAAGGGCCTGTCCGTACTGGGTTGTTTTGGGTGTGGGTGTGGGTCGAGCTACAAAGGTTCTATTAAGGTGCTCTTCCCATCCCCATGTAGCCTGATCAGCTGTCAGAGGGACAGGGAAAATGGGTCCTCTTCTCCATCCTACAAATCTATACAAATCAAGATTTATCTAGTTTACTTACGTATAAGGAAGGAGACAGTTGCAGCAGCAGCCAGAGGCAGATATAGTGTGAGGGGAGAACATCGAGGTTAATGTTGGCCGCCATTCCCCCAACTTTTTCTTCAGCTGGAGTTCTGATAGGGCTGCACCACCTTGTGGGGGTGGAGCCCATGGAGTCAACATAACCCCCTTCCCTGCCATTTCTATTGGCCATCATTCAGCAAGCGGCCACAACTTTCTTCTTTGTTTGTTTGTTGGAGAAAAGCAGCATATTGAAATGGCAATTCATCGACTTGGCATGATTTTAGAATTTCACCGCATCGGTCAGGGAAACATTAAAAATGCCACAAGCCACATAATTCATTACAAGGTTGTCTCCGCAGTTAACACTGCCACCAATGTCATTTCGGTGAAAGAGCTATTTTGCATCTGAATGAATCATCCTAAAAAGATCTTAGCCCCATGCCAGTTTGGTCCATGACAACTATTAAAGAGAAAGGATGGCTCATTTTTAGTCGAAACACAAGCAGACAGGTCTTTTCCCCCCAAGCCAAACTGTGCCATGAGAGAGCTTTATATCATAACTATATGCCAGTGTGGACAGGCTCTAAGTGTGAACTCTCATCAGCTTTTTAGCAAATTTTGCTATATGATAGTAAGACAAACTAGTTCAACCCTTTTCAGGTAAAACACCAGTCAACTAAACCTATAATTGTGCTCTATTTGGAATTCCTTGTAACTAGAAATGGGCACAAATTGAAAAATGAATTGTAAGATTCATTAAAAAAACACTAATTTGTCGACAAATGTAATAATGATATATACCGTTCTCTATCACATTCTGTATTTTTTATTCACCCCAATACCCTGATCCAAATCCCTATAATCTTCCCTTACCCAATGGAAATGGATTTTTTTTTAAAAAAATCACTAATTTGTCAATTTGTATTCATACAAATTAATGCCCTCAATGAATACAAATCAATTAATTTTTAGGGATTTTTGATTTGTCAATTGGTTGAGCTATAAAATGCCCCCCATGCACCTAAAGGCACAAAAATCACAGAAAAGTTTCCTCTGATTCTCCTCCATAATATCTCCATGTCAGGTAAAGATTGGGTTTCCCCAAGCCAGCTGCTAAAGGGCATTTTCCTGGGGGGACCCAGTTTGTGAGTGTATAACAAATCTGAAAGGACTTGTAGAGGAGAGTCAGGGGAAGCTTCTCTGCAAATTTTAAAGGAAAAAAATGAATTGATGAAGTGATGAATTGTCAATTTATTAGAAAAAAATGTAAATTTATGATTTGTGATATGTCAACCTTGATGATCACAAATCAAATCACATTTTTTTTCTGATTCATGCCTATCTCTACTCATAACTCAAACATCAACACTTAAGGGATTGGTTTAAAAAATTCATGTAACTCAAACATCTTCAACACTTAAGGGATTGGTTTAAAAAATTCATGATATTTTAACTGACATCTTCTGTAGCTCAACTCAAATTTTAAGGATAATACATGGAAATAAGACAGGAGAACTCATTATATTAAGCAATCATACTAAATCTCTGTAATAACCTAGTACTGAGAACTGTCTTAGCTAAAATAAGGGAACATTCACTGAAATGAATTCATAGATAGCTTTAATCACTGCCTATATTTAAAACTTGTCCCTGGACAAAACATTTACTTTTCACTTGAAGAATTGTAATTATATTAGGTAATTTTAATCATATATGGTGGAACAGCAATACTGGACAAAATCCTGTTTGTATAAAATTATGCAGTGGAAACTGATGATATCAACAGCCTGTGACAGTAACAATTTAATAAAACCAATTAAAAGCTCCCTGTACCTCCCTAGGGCTCCCTTTTGCCCTGAGGAAGCAATTTCAGAGCCTCAGGAAAGAACGCAGGAGGTAGAAGCTTCAAAAGTAAAATAAAATAAAACCAATTAAAAAGCTCCCTGTACCTCCTTAGGGCTCCCTTTTGCCCTGAGGAAGCAATTTCAGAGCCTCAGGAAAGAA